GGGGGGAGAAGCTGGAATGGGTTTGGGTATTATGTGCTTTGGATTGTTAGGTATTTGAACTGGTCGTTATTAAAATGTAAAATATTGGGTTATAAGTGTCAGTGTGTCATTCATGTGTAATCCCTACTTAGTTGATTTTAAATCAATCAATAAAAACATTTGCTGTGTTGTCAGGATGAACTTGTAGTTGTACCATGTAATTCACACAACAGGATGAAAGCAGTAGAAATAGTGTTATATGAAGATTATGAGGCAAGTATGTTCTACCTGTTACAAGGAAGTGTGAATGTTTTATTGACTTATCTGTAAGCTCTCTTGGGCAGTGAGTGAGTATGATTGTTTTGGTGACAGTAGACACTTTGCAGCAACCAAGTTGATATTGATCTGTAACAATACATACCTTTGTCCTTTCACTGATTTATTTTCTGTTATTTGTAGGATTGTTAAAACAGGCCGTGAAAAAGCGACCTGAACTGAAACTGATTGTGACGTCAGCAACATTAGATGCAGTGAAATTTTCACAGTATTTCTTTGAAGCTCCAATATTTACAATCCCAGGACGAACTTTTCCAGTTGAAGTTCTCTATACCAAGGAACCTGAGACAGATTATCTCGATGCCTCACTTATTACAGTCATGCAGATTCACTTGAGAGAACCTCCAGGTATTTGCATCTTTATTCAAGTTGTTGCTTAGTTCATTGTTCTTGTTGGCTGTTTTCTCTGAACTGGTTTCTGAGGTGATGGAAACACTGTATAACATAGAGAGAGCGTATCATTCAGTTTAATCGCTATGGACCAGTAGAGTGTAATTCATCATAAGTTTATTCCGGAAACGTTTTTTCAGTGAAAATTTAAATGACTTTTCTGGATGGAAGACGTGTACAGTAACATCTTGCAGTAATGTTTTAAGTTTGATTTTGAGAAATTTGTTGTGTGAAGCACATATAACATGATGGTAAACGGCAAAGTGTTTGTACTCCAGAAAACATGGAGCACATGAGAAAGGCAGTTCTGGTCAGCCCAAAGCATTCTTCAGTTATGCACATAATAAATATTTCTAACAGGACACTGTACCAGACATTGCCTCAAACTACAAACCTTCCTCCAAATAAAGTTCAGACTGTTCAACACTTCATTTGAACTATGAGACTTCAAGAACAAGGTAGTGGTTTTGCTGACAGTTTTTGGATATTTAAATGATAATCAGAAGGTGAACAAATTAGCCGAAATTGTAACCCTCCTGATTTGTATTCATGAGGAGGCCACATTTCATGCCTGTATAAAACCACAAAGAATCTATCAGTTTAATATATTTTAAATTAAAGTTTTGGGGAAAAAATTTTAAGAATATAAAGGAGTTCAATTTTGACATCTTCTCCGTGAAGAATCTCACTGTGTAGAATAACACATTGATTGTCAGTTGTTCTTGGGTGTTAATGTTGTCAGTACCGTACTTGCTGCATTTAAGTTTTACCAACTGTGCATTGCATTATTGTACTGGTACAAGTGCGTGGTCCAGCAGGCCAAGAATTGTGTTAGCCTGCATTAAAATATGGCTGACAGTCCTATAGAAATGGATTTTTTTAAACCCCATATTCTTGGATGCTACCCATGAATTAACATATGGCTGGCAGTCCCATAGAAGTGAGAGGTTATAATCCTGTACGTGGTGTGTTCAAAAAATGACGGGAATTTCCGTATTTTGGAAAAAATATTTATTCATTCGTCTACATTAATGTTGTNCCTGGATGCTAAACTTTTACCCTGAATAATAGGGCAGAACTCAGAAGTACTGGGAGATGCTCATATACTGGAAGAGCCATTAAAAACTATTTATATGCAGGTGACATCCTGTTGTTCCTGACGGGTCAAGAGGAAATTGACACAGCGTGTGAAATTCTGTATGAGCGTATGAAATCATTGGGTCCGGATGTCCCTGAGCTGATTATTCTGCCGGTGTATTCAGCTCTTCCCAGTGAGATGCAGACTCGAATTTTTGAGCCAGCTCCACCTGGTTCGCGGAAGGTATGTTAGTTTCTTTACATAATGCATCATTCCTGTAAAACTAAACTAAACTCCGTGATTTGAGTCCACAAGCGAACTATACCGACCAAGCGACCACTGATTGTCGGTGAAGTTAGTGCCAACTTTTGCAGATAGAGGGTGTCACGTGGACAGCGCAACAAATTCCCACAGTCGTTAATTTTGGCTTTCTAGACCGTAGCCGCTATTTCCTTGAAATAGCTCCTCAGTTACCCTCATGACCCTGAGTGGACCCCGATCCAGACCCACTATTTTTCAGATAATCTGGTAGCACCAGGAATCGAACCCAGACCTCTGGCTCTGTAGCCAGGAACTCTGACTGCCAGACCACAGAGGCGGTCTTACCATTCCTGTACCACAAGATAAATTAGGTTTTATGATTAAAATGCTTAAAATTAGTAGTTATCAACATAACATCATATTACAACAAAGTTTGTGTTACATGTTTGTATAAAGTAATTCACCTTAGTAACGGTTTCTTTCACAGCATTTCTGGCTTACCTCCCAACCAAACCACTTTTCACAGCACATTAGTGGTTTCCAGTACTTCACTGTAAAACTAAAATAACTGTGTGCAAGTTGTCACAAATGGTGGCCATATGTACAATTTAGTGACAAGGAAGGATTGCATGATCATAGAGTGTTCTGAAAGAGAAATATTTTGCCTTGCCACACAATGTTCCTATCTGATCTTGGTTAGGTATTGTAGTCTGGACAAAGCATTGGTAATCAGCCAACCTCACGTAAGGGAGCAAAATGGTTAATGGAACAGAAAGATGTTTGTATGTGTTCAGTTAAATTGATGAAAACCTAGTATATTGATGTAAGAAATCACAGCAGTGGTACTCTAAAATTGGAAGACTGAATTTCTTGTCAACTAATAACCTCTCTCCCTCCCTCTCTGCTATCTTGAAATGTGATGGTTTTAGTAATGTTTATATATGTTTCAGGTTGTGATAGCAACAAATATTGCAGAGACATCTCTCACTATTGATGGAATATACTATGTGGTGGATCCCGGTTTTGTGAAACAGAAAGTTTACAACTCCAAAACTGGCATGGACTCTTTGGTTGTGACCCCCATTTCACAGGTATAGTCAACCATAACATATGCTATTTAAATCTAGAGCACCTCTCACCATATACTTGTACAGTTTGCTACCTGCTTCATGCTTATTTCTTGCTGGACTTATTCTTCAGTTCCTGAAGATGGAGGCAACATGTTCCTCAAAAATGTCAGTTACTCTCAGTGGACTACACGGCATTATATCCAAGAAGAAAACTCAACAATTTTATCCTTCTATAGCCATGATTATTATCTACTGTGACAAACACTGCCTTGCTCATGGTTGTGCAAGGTGATTCAGTGAATAATATTCTTTACAACAGCAGCTGCCCCAAGGAACAGAGAGCAGAAATCACTAGACGAAAGGGCAAATGAGTTTCTTATCACATACCTCGTAGTTGCCGCAAGATGATCATAGTTGTGATATTGTGGTCTTTTCAGTTTGAATGGCCCTCATTGAAATACACTCAGTTCCATGAAAGTTCCCTGTTGCTTGTTGCTGTAGTTGCACTGTGATTTAAAGACACCTGGCTCCTTGTCTGTGTCAAGTACAAAGCCCCAGCTGGGGCAGAAGATTGCAGTACTGTCGTCGGATGATCATTTCACCTCTAAATGTTGAAACATGGTCACAAGCTTGCAGCAGTCAGAATATAGACAAGGATGTCTAGTGGTGGAAGGAATCATTAATTAGTTCACTTGTAAAACAAAGTGTTCAGCACTGTGCCTGGCAGACATAACTATTCACCAATGATTTTCTGAGGAGGACACTACTGATGTGAGTGTCAGCTGTTGCTGTTTTGAGGCCGGCAGCATTGAGCACTAATGCAAAGTATCATTAAATCTCAGTATGATAATTATTGTTTTGGTGTGAATCATCCCTTGGCATTGTCCCGGCACAAAGAATTTTTGTATTTGCATGCCCTGAGATGGCGTGGGGCCACACCAGATATGGTAAATGTAGGAAGGAGGTTCATTATGCAGTTAAGAAACAGTCCATGGTGTCATATTCAGTCACACTTGGCAGCACGAAATTGGCGCTCCTTAGTACTGTCAACATTCTTTAGAAACATGGCAGTTTGAGCCTTTTTGGACTCTAAATGAAACTGGCTCCCTGCATCCCTGACAGAGGCAGTAGCTTCAGTTTGTCTCAAAAACAGTAAGTTACCAGGCCATGCTGTTGGAAGAATCTGATACTTCTGCTGTCATACACAATGTGGTTTTATCTGTTCGCTTGTAACAAAGAGTCTCCTTTACTGGTCTGTTTTGTGATAATTGATCAGTATATGAACAACAAAATTAAATAATAACTGAATAAAGATAGCAGGTAAGATGGAGGAAGGCAAGATTGTCCCTGTGCTTAATTAATTACTATTGCCTGAAGACATAAGGGAGTGGAGGTATAGCTTCATGCAGTCCTAATACTTGCACTCCCTGCATATCTCTGCTGCTTGTTTACATCCCAGACGAGTCATTTTGAACATTATGCTGGTGGTTTTCAATATTTCGCAAGGAATTTAGAAACCAATGTGGATGTATCCAAGAAATTGTAAACTGTATCTGCATGCACAATCTCATGGCAGGAAAGACTTCTGTGTTCAAAGTTCTTTCTGAAAGAGAAATATTTCATCCTTTCATGGTGTGTTGCTATCCAGCCTTTGTTGGGTAAGGAAGTATGGATGCAATACCTGTAAATGACCGAACTCAGGTATGGGACAGAATATATAAAGCTCAGAAATAGACGGAGATGAGTGTTCAGCTTCATGTCCCAGCTGGTTTAACTATGCAGAAATGAGCTCCCAGTATACATTGGGTAGGAGACTGGGTGGCCTCACAGTCATTGTGGACTTGGTGATGAGAATAATCTTTGCCCATGTTGGGAATTGAACCCCCATTCTCCTGTCATCCAGCCCATATCATAGTCACTGTACTAACTGAGCTATTCCACATCAGCATTGGAACCTTCCTGCTTGTGTGCAGTTCCTGATGGTGTACAACTGTGTAAAGATGTAATTCCCTCTCTAAATCTTAGTGTAGTATTCTAGAAAGTGGACAGAATTGGAACACTTTCAAAACTGAACCATTAAACTTCTGCATAAATCTGTGATGCCTGTTGACCCTCAAAAAGACACTTAATGGCTTGAAAGTTAAAGTGTTTATATGTGACTTATTACTCGCAGGCCCAAGCAAAGCAGCGTGCAGGCCGTGCCGGACGCACAGGGCCAGGCAAATGCTATCGTCTGTATACAGAACGTGCATACAGGGATGAAATGCTGCCCACACCAGTGCCAGAGATTCAGCGCACCAATCTTGCCACAACTGTTCTTCAGCTTAAGACAATGGGCATAAATGATCTGATTCATTTTGATTTTATGGATGCCCCTCCTGTAGAAAGTCTTATTATGGCTTTGGAGCAACTACATTCTTTGAGTGCTCTTGATAATGAAGGTCTTTTGACAAGGCTTGGCCGAAGGGTATGTACACATACAGTTTATAACAAATACTGCAATCCATGTAGTTCAGTTGATGCTAGTGTCCACACATGTTAAAAGGCATGTCTAAGATCACCTGCCATATTGGTGTGAATTGTTCTTAGGACATGGATGTTGTTAAGTTGGCAGGCTTGGTCATATATCTAAGGTTCGAGTCTGTGCTCTCTCTCTTCCTCTCTCTCTCTCTCTCTTTGACTTCCATCTTGCAGCCATTAGTGGTGTAACATTCAAGCAAGTACAATCTGTGAAAGTTCATAGTTCAAGATGAATAAAGTAAGTGTTAACCTTTAACATCCAAAGTGTACTGATCTGTACAGTGATAAGTATGGTCGAAGTGGCTGAAGTACACTGATTTGTGCAGTTGGGCATTTAAACTCCGCTAGCAGAAGTGCATGCACACTCCGCTGGTAGAAGCAATCCTATATATTTAGTTTTAAATAGAGTAAAATTCAATGGACAAACCTTTCTTTTTTATAGTTATCTGGTTGATGTATATACAGGGTCCACCCCTGCATCATGTAACTGAATCTTGCCTTTGTATGGTACCTCTTGAAGTACCTGAAAATGCACAGTACTAAGTCACATACCTTGCACTTTAGTTACCTTTAAATTTCATTATCTTCCAAACAACGTATCATTGCCATTTTCTGATATGAAACTACAATATTCCAATTCACCAAGAACTCACAGAAAACTGGATGCACCCTGTATCTCAGCTACGAAGAAAGTGTTTGTTTGAGACTTTGGAAAGGGCAATATTCTCTTGGGCATGAAATAGTAAGGCTTAGCATTGAAGATGGGAACAAAGAATTTTCTCTATAACCCGATTTGAACTCCCATGCTTTCACTTTTCTGTCCTTTAGTCAAAGACTCGAATATCTGAAGAGTGCAACAAAGATCTGAAACTTGCCAGCAGAGGACCAAATGATTTTATTGCTTCCATCTGGTTTATGGGAACAGAGAAATGTGAAAATATTTCAAGTGCTAGAAGCAGGGGTGATTTTATAATGCAGAACCATTCTATGAAGAAGCAGGGAACTATATTTACAGACTGCATCGAAATTACAAGAAAAATGAGAAATAGAGTGTAATTTTTTTGTTTAAATATTTTCAAATTTTACGTTGTACTATGCAGCACTGTGTGTTTTGCTGATAAAAACATTTAACTCCTTCTGAACAATGGCAGTCTTTGATTCTCTGTGAAGAATCTCTTACTAATCTCAGACTGTCTCAATGCACAAATGAACTTCATTTTATAACTGACAGGCACCATGTCGAACAGTTCCTATGTTCTTCTGTGTTATCATAAGAATGCCTTTGTTAATATTTATTGCTGTGGAACAAGTGCCAGCTAACCATTGCCTAGCAAAATTACTTCCACTTCTGCTGTTATTCTGTCTCTTAGGTAGTATTTACCTAGCCGTTGCCTAGCAAATGGTCATATTCCAATCACACTATATATATATATATATTTCTTCTTTCTTGTCTAATTCCAACTGCAAACCTAATAAGTTCACCCGGAAGATACTATGAAGTTTGCTCTGTACTGTTGCCAGTATGTGTGGTAGAGTTTTTGAATGAAATTTAAATCCTCATTCCTCTTGTCCTCTTACTTCCACGAGTAAACTTTAATTTTTTCACTCACTCACTTCCATTTTTAATGCAACTTAACACTGTTCACAATCTCTCTTTACTCTAAAATAACATTCAGATCACATCCAGTTACTAAATTTAATTTTTAATGCTGTATTACAGCATCTTGTTGCACTGTGTATTCCAGTTTCAGTCTAGAAAACTTAAAATTTTTTATAAATATTCTACATTACTCATAAACTGCAAAATAAAACAGCATAATGACAGAGCAGCAGTTCTCATATACAACTTATACACCTGATGATGGCCAGTTAAGCCAAAACATGTAGTGTTAAGTAAATGAATAATAAGGAGAGACAAAGAGCCTTTGAAGTGTGAATCTTAATGTATGGATGAAGTTGCACAAGGGCAGTGAGGTGAAAGTGGTAAAAAAATAATTTCTTAATTTGTGTCTCATTGTAAGATTTGAGGCTTTCACGGCAGTGACTATGAAGAAAGCAGTCTTCTGGGATTTGGCACCGTGTATATGTGGTGTTAACCGACGTTTCGGAGNTCTTGTGTCTCATTGCCTCTTCAAATTTTTAGCTGCTGTGTACTGTGGCATTGGAAAGGAAAGAAGCCATATCCCAGGTGAAGAATGGAAACTTCTTATCCAAATGTGTTTAGCAAATGTCCAGCAACATTACACAAGGAAGAAATGTGATTCTTTCTTGTAACGAATTCCATATGTCTGTTGCCATAAGATTAGCAACCGAAATTACTGGTGCATACAGCTCTTAAAATATATTGATAGAGTCTGAAACCATGAACGTAATGAAGTTGTGATTGCATCTTTGCAGATGGCCGAGTTTCCTTTGGAGCCCAACTTATCAAAGATGCTCATCATGTCAGTCCATCTGAACTGTTCAGATGAAGTCCTCACAATTGTATCCATGCTTTCTGTGCAGAATGTTTTCTACAGGTAATGGAGCCTAATCAGATTAAAGTCAATTTAAATTATATGTGCACATTTATGTACCAATAGGAAGTGAGAACTCAGAAGGGACAACTGTATATATAGAATTTTGCCAGGAAACCTCTTTTAAAATTTATTACTTGGGAGACCAAGAAGGAAGTCGGAGAATAATATTAAAACATTCCATACTGGAATCAATATCTCAGTTCTTCAGTCTTTAATTTTTTCCCTCCACTTGGCACTACAGCTCCAGTGGGCCTAGGCCTACCTCCATGAACTTCTCCGTTCACTTCGATTTTTCTAGATCTTACACATTCGGTAGGACTCCTTGGGCGGGTGATCATCTCGTCACACATTCGGTAGGACTCCTTGGGTGGGTGATCATCTCGTCACAAGGCCTCTACCTGTACACAAACACAGAAAAACACACACAAACTAACATCCATGCCTTGAGTGGGATTCGAACCCACGATCCCGGTTTCCAAGCGAGCAAAGACAGTACATGCCTTAGACTGCTCAGTGACCGGCCAGTCTTTAATTAGGCTACAGAAATACAGGTTGAACCATTTAAAATGCAACACAAACAGCTGTTGCATACTATTGTATAGAAAATGAAATCAGAAGCTGTTCCCCACCACGGAATGAACTGTCGTAAATTTCCTTGTGACCCTTGAGTCTGTATCACTCTGGTTGCTTGGCTGCTTCTGTCACCAGTTGCATAGAAGCTTTGGAGGTGCAAGTATGGTATATTCATGACCAGAACCTGTGTTCATTTTTTAATGTTACTTTGCCTCAAAGCCATCGGCTGGTGTTTATGAAGTATTCCTAACAAAGAATCACTAAATGCAACAACAGCATTGATGTCACCTGTTGTTTGAGTTCCATTTAAGTTGTGCACATGTATTATATACGTGTACAGAAAAACTGCATCTTTCCTTGTCTCTGATCAGTTTGTGTAACATGTGCAGAGAATGTTCTGAGACAAAAAGAAATCAGAAATAAATCTGCCAAGTCAAACAAAGAATATGGTGTATTATATTTGTCACTTCATGCACTTTGTCCGTAATTAACTCTGTTTTCCACGCGAAGCGCACACATGCAATGTTAGTCTCGTATTAGCAGGAAGTAAGTCAGTGATGGCGAGTGGTGTCATCTATTAAAAACGCTTATAAAACATCGCAATTTCAACTATGCACCATGGCCCCATTTCGCATTGAAGATGTCGAAATTGAGAGGCCGCTCATAAATCACACCATTCAGAATGCGTTACAGTTTATTCTGAAGGGACGTGGAAGCAAGTGGTATGAGGTGATATTCCAAGAACTGCCTCTGTGTGGATAGTCTGACATACGTGAATAAACAAACAGAGTTTCATAAGGCAATGTAGGATAAGAACTCGCCCACACTCCGGTACACAGGAAGCGAAGCCTACGTGACTGGAGATTTTGCAGTACGTAAACATCCTCCTATTGCCAGATAAAAAACACAGACAGTGCCTCAGCACCATGCATTTATACTGCAGAACTGTATTGTGCAGAAGCTTTATGCATTTTTGTGGACAGACGCTCAAAATTGGAAAAAAAAAAAATTTTGGAATCAATGTAACAATTTTTACAGATTCTGAAATCTGTAGATTACAGTATCTGATTCTATATACTTTCTAGATAAAAGTAGCGTTTATTTCGTTCGTTTATCACAAAAATTATAGAAATCACAGCATTTTGAGTAACATGATTACAATTTTTATTACTTTACAATGGCGGGCATTTAAATTAACTCTGTCCCACTGCCAGTATCGGAATTTAAATGGCCCGTCCCATAAAGGTTAAACAACATATAAGCCTCAAAAAAGCTCCGGTTAAGCCGCAAACTGGTTTATCCGCCCCTGGATAATCGAGAGTTGAGTGTATGTATATATATATATATATATATATATATATATATGTACTTCTTTTTATATTAATGTTAAGCTTTCATGGATGTTTCCACAGTTTATTCCATTATCTCCCACTGACTAAACCTGACCCCTTGGGTGTCCAGTGACTGATGTTAGCTGTATCTAATAGACCCAACTGAGTGTGTAGATTTCATCTGAGGATGTAAGCAGATCAAGCTCTCGAAATTCTGTATTCTGATTAGAATATCAGATGATGGATGAAGTTGAGAAATCTAGTAACACTAAGTATATTTCCTTTTCTAACCAGAATTTCCAATGTTGCACATGAGGTTCTGACTGTGGTGGCTGTGAAAAGTAGTTTTCTCAGTTGGATATCCATGTAGCTTGGAGAAAGCCTGACATTTTGGAGAAATGTACTGCCTTCTTGTTCAGGGTAGAAGCAGGAACCAAGATTAACTTGCTCTGAACTACATAGTATGAGAGCCCAGAAGCCAGGCTGTCAGAGTGTCATTTTTTTAAGTAATTTTTAAAAATTTTGTATATTACAGACCCAAGGACAAGCAAGCTCTAGCTGATCAAAAGAAGGCAAAATTCAATCAACCAGAAGGGGATCATCTTACCTTACTTTCTGTGTACAATTCATGGAGAAACAACAAGTTTTCAAATGCTTGGTGCTACGAGAATTTTGTTCAGATACGGACACTGAAACGTGCTCAAGATGTAAGGAAACAGTTACTTGGAATTATGGACAGGTAAACACAATATTCTTCAGTCTTTATACATTATTACTTCTTCCTGTATATGTCCAGTGGAGCCGGGATAGTGCAGTCAGTACAGCGATTGGCTACGGGCTGGACGCCTGAAGGGTTGCAGTTTGAGTCCTGGTAGGGGTAAGAATTTTCTCTTCTCTACATCCAGACCAGCTCTGGGGCCCACCCAGCCTCCTATCCAATGAGTACCAGGGGCTCTTTCCCAGGGTGTAAAGTGGCAGGGGCGTGAAGGTGACCACTCACTCCCAGGTAGTGCCAAGGTCAAGAAAACGTGGATCTATACATCCATTACCCCATATGCTTCATGGCATAGTGCTTAATTAGTTAAGCACAGGAAGGTAGGCAAAACAGCCTAGAGAAGCTTATGAAATGATGAAAAGTGTGTACAGTAGTGATTGTTTGAGTTGCTCAAACATTTTTCGAGGGTATCCTGTATTTTGTGATGGCAGGGAGGACATTGAAGACACTGTGAAAAATGTGACCGAAATCGTTGCATCAGACAGATGTGTTTCTGCAAGACTCATCGAGGATCTTTTGGGAATACCAAAAAGTACTGTGCATCAAATTTTGACTGAGTATTTTGACAAATGGAAGGTCTGTGCACAGTTTATACTGCACATGCTGTCAGGCGATGAAAAACATGCCAGAGTGGAACACTGCAAAGACATGTTACGGTCGGCCCACAAATCCCACTTAATCAGACCCGGGATCGAACCCAGGCTGCTGCGGTGGGAAGCCAGCAACTAACCGCTTGAGCTATGGCACAGCCTGGCACTCACACATTAACTCCATTGACTGAGTCCTTAACAACTTGTCCTGCTTATAACATCTTAGCACAGACCACACAGAAAACATCATTCCTCTTTTGCTGTGCCATTATTATGTTTGTGTCTTTTGGGGTTTCCACGTGATTACTACTCAGCCATTGCCTAGTAATGGGCACTGCTTGCAGAGCCATTACTTAGGAACAGCTGTTCCCTCCTTAAGGCTCTTCATCCGAAGTAGTCTACAGGTGTACTGCCATTTCTTTTTTTCCAAGGGCTGTGCTTGTGTTGTCTGTGATTGGCTTTGCCTTGCTTCCCCATGGCTCAGTTTTCACTGTGATCTCTCTCCAACACATTTTTCATCTTTCATTCTTGTATTCAGATTAATCAGTTATACATCATGTTCTCTATTCTAGTATTGTGTACTTTTTGTTTCTTTGTTATCCCATTTACATATGAAATTCACTTCAAAAACCTAAATTCTCGTTGTATTCACTTTGTGCCATTACACGCCTTTCAGAACTGTGGCAGAGACTGATTAGAAGCAAATATTATCTTAAAAGGAAATTTAAATTCCATAGGAAGGACAAATTTTGAAATGTGCATATTGTGCTGTCATTGTAATATAAAACCTTTTTTTAGGCATAAGCTTGATGTTGTGTCAGCTGGTAAGAATACTGTGAGGATCCAGAAGACTGTGTGTTCGGGGTTCTTTCGAAATGCAGCCAAGAAAGATCCTCAAGAAGGCTATAGAACGCTAGTAGACAGTCAGGTGGTTTATATACATCCTTCCAGTGCACTATTTAACCGTCAACCTGAGTGGTAAGTTGGTGCATGAATTTTTATTATTTTACTTTAATGTAGGTAAGTGGATGTTAGTTTGTTCTGCAGCTCTCAACATCACCGCAACACTGTTCAAATAAATTATGGTAGGTACTGCTTAATATGATAACTGCTTACTAAAATTAGTTGCTTTATAGCATAACATTTCAGAGAACAGATTCAGATTATCAAAATGGACCATATTTTTGTTGAAAATTGGAAACAGATTTTTGGCATGAGAATAAAAACTTTTTGAGTGCAGTGTATTTCAAATAGGTAATGTCTTCTGAATGATGTGCCTAACTTGTGATTCATGTAGGCTGTGTCAAGTGATTCAGCTGCTTTCCAGTACTGTACTCCAGTTGGTGTCATCATGAACAATATAAGAAACTGGTATCTGAAAGGACTCATTTTTACAGGGATTTTATGTTATTTTTGTTCCTTATAATCTCTTTGCATGCGTTAAGTATCCCCAATTTCTAACTCTCTTTTTCCACAATGCTGTGTTGCCATCCTCCTTCTTAGCTCCCATTGTTTGTAACAGACAGTTTTGTTGTTTAGGCCTTTTCTGGACATCAGGATAGAGTCAGTGTTCATGATGTGACTTTTCAGAGTATACCTACAATGTGCAATTTTCTGCTGTATTCAGCCAGTAACTCATTTCACTCTTGGTATTAATCCTTATTGCTCAGTGCTGGATTTCTTTTCCTATTTCTTATTATTCTTTAGTTTCCTGCCTCAGTGGTCTAGTGAAAGCATGCTTACCATTGGACCCAATGTTCATCGGTTCAAACTCAGCCAAGGTTGATTGATTTTTGATGGCCATAAAATTCTGTAGCATAATTTCCTTTGAAAGGGAAGTAAAACCAGAGGCCCCATGTCATACATTTATTACGTGTAAAAAAATCCGTCACTCATAATAAGGGATGAGTGAAGGCAGAAGGAAATGCCACTTTCAGTCACTTGACTGCAGAGACCTCTTGAAATCACCCTATCTGGACTGGACTGCTGGATAACATGGCTCACCCTAGTGGTGTCAGAACAGAAAATGAGTTACAAATATGACAACCACTTTACATTGAAAGCACAGATGACTTAATTGTCAAAGTGTGGCATTTGAAACCAACCAACCAATCATTGTTTTACAGTTTAATGTTTCTATATATGATGGGGTGCTGATAAGTCTTTGGCTTTATACAGAAAACAATCTACAGGATTGAAAAAATATATTTACTCTACATATTTGCCCTCTGAGGACCATCTCTTTGGTCTAGTGGTCGGAGTTCCTGGTTACAGATCCAGAGGTCTTGGTCTTCCCAGTGGTCTCTTTCCTTCTGGCTTTCCCACCAATATCCTATATACATTCCTTTTCTCCCCCATTCGTGCTACATACCCTGCCCACCTCATCCTCCTTGACTTGATCATTCTAATTATACTTGGAGAAGAGTACAAGTTATGAAGCTCCTCATTATTTTTCTCCAACCTCCTTTCACTTCATCCCTCTTCAGTCCAAATATTCTCCTCAACACCCTGTTCTCAAACACCCTCAGTCTATGTTCCTCCCTTAAAATCAGAGACCAAGTTTCACGCCCATACAGAACCACGGGAAAAATTATAGTTTTGTATGTTATAATTTTTATGTTTTTGGACAGCAGACAAGAAAACAAAAGGTTCTAGACTGAATGGTAGCAAGCATTACCCAAGTTCAGTCTCCTCTTAATTTTCTCCTCAATCAGGTTTTGATTTGTTGTCATTGTTCCCAACTGCAACATTTCCAAAAATCTGTTTTTTATCACTGTCGTGATTTTCCCTGCATTCTGGTGATGAGAAAACAACACGGTGCCAAATCCCAAAAGACTGCTTTCTTCAACAAATACTTATTTTTCTCTGTGTTTACTTCTAGACTAACCTCCTTACTTGTGTCAGTTAAAGTTTGTGTGTTTTTCTTTATTGTATCTATATTATCACCCAGTAGATTCACATCAGTGGCATAAACCAACAGCTGATGTGTCCCATTTAATTTCAGTCTCACCTGGTTTTCCTGGACCTTCCTAATGGCATATTCTAAAGCAGAGTTGAAAAGGAGTGGCGATAAAGCATCTCGTTGTGTTAGACCATTCTGGATAGAAAATTTATCAGACAAATGTTTATCTATATGGACTTTAAAATAAGTTTTGTTTAAACACATTTTAATCAGCTTAACTAGTTTCATGGGTATCCCATTAGAATATTGTCCAATACTTCCCTCCCAACTGAATCATAGGCTTTCTTGAATTCTACAAATAGCTGATATACTGTCTCATTGTACTCCCATTTTTCTCCAACATCTGACAAATGCCAAAGATCTGATCTGTAGTTGATCTGTTACGTCAAAACCCACAGTGATGATCCCCAATAATTTCATTTGTGTATGGACTTAACCTAGAGAGAAGAATATTGGGTAAAATTTTGTATGTAGTTGTCCAAGTACAAACATCCAAAAAGAAAAACAGTCCGATAAACTTGTCATGCATTAAGCCAGCCCACTTGTGCACTTTGGGGCTGCCCTTCTCCAACTCACATGTGACATATGGATTTTAACTGCCCCAAATCCTGCAGTTGTACCTGTCTGCAACTCCATTAACATTGGATGTCGCCTTGTCCAAGAAGCACACTTGGCGCAGGAAATCGGGTGACTCATCAGTTCTTTCTAGTTTGTCTACAGCGAAGTTTGTGCATGCTTCTTGGTCACTCAGTTTTAGTGCATGAATCATTTGAATATTGTACACCCTTCGGCAGAGCTTTTTGTGTAGCACATTGGGCACGGATGAATGTGGAATTTGTGACGGCATGCTAGCAGCACGAATTGATTTATGCAGACTTCACTGTAACGCCTCTCTAATGTGATTGACATTTTCTTCTGAGGTCCTTGTCTTTCCGTGAAGTTTTACATACAACAGACTATCTGTAGTCCTCAGTTTGTTGTCCCATAACCAAATGCTTTTCCATGTCGGAGGTTGACGTCCATATTGCATAAAAATTACACTGGATTTTCAATACCTTTCGTCCAGACACCTGTTTAAATGCACCCCCCACATCACTTCAGCAACCTTCAATCAATATGCTGGCACTACACATATCCAACAGGATATCCAGGTATGAAACCTCTCTGTTATTACTTACTAATATCAGACAGCATAATATAAATATTAAAATACTTTTCCTTTGTTATACCTGCATACATCAAGCAACAACAGAAAAATCATAAATAAGATATATAAATTATAGAATATACCGCCTACACAACAATCAGTATTCAAAACAAAGAAGACACTACTGCATCAACATTTGCTTTTATTATGTTTATTAGAGACGCAACATGTTTCGACCCTTTCACGAGTCATCTTCAGGCGTACAGCGCACCAGTCTGAGCTCCTGAGTTGCAATCAGTTGTCATTTTATTCATCAAATAAGGATCCTTATTGTGTCTAGAAATTAAATTCAAATGTAAATGTAATTTCCTTTTAGTGTGGAGCCTTTGAGATGGCCCACAAGGGCTGAACATGTAAGGCCATATAAGTAGTTCGATTTATATTAAACTTGTTTACAGCTTAGCTTGTCATTCCAAGATTAAGACAGGTGTGTTAGTGAAGATATCTCTTGTTAAAATGATGAATTAAACTTAAGCAATCTGTCCCTAAGGGATGTGGCTGCTAAGAGTGTCTCAGTCATCAGTATCACAAATGATAAAGCCTTTTGGCACACTGAACATTGTTGAGACTAGTTAGAATAGGAAAAGCACAAGTATGACCATCTTCTTGACTGATTTTGTAACACATTTCTTTCTGCTACAGGGTAATCTACCATGAACTAGTTCAAACTACAAAGGAATACATGCGAGAAGTAACGACCATCGATCCAAAGTGGATTTTGGAATTTGCTCCAGCTTTCTTTAAATTCTCAGATCCAACAAAGCTGAGTAAATTTAAGAAGAATCAGCGTCTGGAGCCACTTTACAACAAATATGAAGAGCCAAATGCGTGGAGAATATCACGAGTTCGCAGGCGAAGGAACTAGTGTGAGAAATGAATATAAAGTGAAGTTTTGGTGTAAAAGGGAAATAAATAGCACATTATTATTGTATTTTGTTTGGAAAGAACAAAAACGGTTTTAAATATTCAGTAGCACATGTATTGTTACTTGATGTTTATTTTCATGATAAACCTATGCAGGATCAGTCTTCTCCGGTGAGACATCGTATAGTCTGGTGGACATGTACCAACATTTTAGAGGAACTTGCTCTCTTCTGGACAGAAGAGCATGGCAGGTTCCTCCAAAATTTTCTTACACAACTATCACATAACACAGCAGCACGTTACACAATTCAGTACAGTTAATGTTTATTGCCATCAGAACCTCATGTCTCACATCAGTGTCAAGTGCTTCAAGTGATCTGTTTTGTTGAGCTTCTTTTGCTTTCCATAAGTCATTTAACCTTTAAGAGCCTAATGTCACCGTATGGCGTCATTTAAAGTATAGCCGAGTGGCTGTGCATCACCGTATGGGTACCCGCAGTCCACGCGCGCACAATGTTTTAAAATCTTATTTTAAGATAGAAATTCTTGTTCTACTTAAACTATTTTTGGACACCAGCTTTATAAGTAGACTGTCTTCCCTCCTGCATCATCTAACTGAATGTTGCCTTTGTGTGGAACTGTTGGAAACATCCGGAAATGCAGAGTCCAACGCCGCACTTAACGCACTTTGTCCAGATTTTACTTTGTTTCCCATGCGAAGAGCACACATGACACCTCAATCTCGTATTAGAGGAAGTCGGCCAGTGATGTCGACTTGCCTTCTCTAATTGAGATATCACCTATGACACAGCAGGAGGTCGACCCCTGGACCGTTGAGGGCGAGGTGGACCCCTTGCAGCATGTTCCGCACAAGGGCGAGACGAAATTCTCTGTCTGACAATTTCGCACCACAGGATGACAATAGGATGAAACTGTTCAGAATCGTCAGATCCAGGGGATGGAAAAATAGTTTATTTGTCCATTTCCAGGTTCGACGACTGATGCTGTAACTGTTTGCCATTCTGTCCTCTTTGTCGACATAACCCATGTGCTTGTTGTAGTCAGCAACAATTGCTGGCTTGATGGCATTTCCGTGCTCATCACAGAAACTGCCTTCTGCTGGAGGACAGTGCATGTTTGTCAACATATGAACGTCACGTTTGTCCTTCCAAACTAGTGCTGTCAAGTTCCATCTCACCCCAACACGAATGTCACCTTTCTTGAGTCGAAATTGTCATCGAAAATCGTTAGGCAAGCCCTTCCGATTAGGTCTGACTGTCCCACAGCACGTTATGTCCTTTGTCATCAGTTCGTCAAACAAGTCTGGTGACGAAAAGAAATTGTCCATGTACAGTTTGTGCCCTACACCCTCAATACGTCTGCATAGGTCCCTAACTGTAGCATGTGTCGCTGTCACGTCTTGGTCGGCATGTGTCCTGTCTTTTCCTAGATAAACCTTCATGTCATAAGTAAACCCAGCGGTGTCACAAATTTTGAAGATTTTGATTCCAAAACGTTTTGTGTTTCTTAGGAATATACTGCCTAAAATCCACCCTCCCTTTGAATTTAACAATTATCTCGTCTATGACCAAATGTTCGGAAGGGTTATAATATTTTTCATATGCGTCATTGAGAGTGTCGAAGATGGTCTGAATTTTCCATAGTCAGTCATAATTATCAGCATTCCTGTCAGTTTCTGTATTGTCTGCAAAATGAAGAAAATGAAGAATGTGTAGAAAATGGTCGCGTTTCATTGTGTTAGAGTAGAAAGGCGTGACTAATTGTTCTACAGTCGACCAGTAGTCCTTTTTTCTGTCTCTGATGTCATGTCCCATTTGAATGATTATTCCTAGAAACAGAAACATCTCGGAATCGGTCACGTCAGGCCGCGGAGAAGGTCCGTCTTGAAGTCTGTCTACGTGCTGGTGGTAGTACTTGTTCGTCTCTTCCACCAGCAGACGGATAATCCCTGCGAAGTAGAGCATGAAAACGCAGAAAGGGGTGGAATCCTTATTTACATGTGGAGCTTCATTGGTATTTAACCCCACAGCTCCACCGGAATAATTATTCACACCCCTCCTGCCATGCTGGTGTGGTCCCCAGGTTGCCGACGAAGATCGACGAAGATGATGGGTCTTCATCGACTTCAATTTCTGATTCACTTTCTTCCTCGCCACTCTCAGAGTCTTCGGTACAACAGTCTGAATCAGTGTCATTTATAAGCTGACTCTCAATTTCAGCGTCTTCCAAATGATACGAGGCCATGGTGGACAACTGAACACAACGCTAGCCTTTAACGTTCTGACACTGCTGGTCTATTTTACAGAACAGAGTACTTCTTGTGTGGCTGTACGAGATAATACACAGTCAGTGTTTCTGTGAATGATTAGACATCGCCCACACTCGTGCATACCAAAAGGACCCTATGTAACTGGAGAATGAGGAATGCAATCGTAAACATCCGCCCCTGTTGCCACATAAGCCATAGTTAGAAAATGATGTCAGCAGCAGGCATTTAGACTGCAGAAAGGTTTTGTGCAGGAACCGTATGCATTTTTGTGCACAGACGTTCGAAATTGAGGGGAAACTTTTTTTTTGCATCAGTGTAACAATTTTTAGAGATTTTAAAATCTGTAAATTACAATATCTGATTCTCTATTCTTTCTAGATAAAAGCAGCGTTTATTTCGTTCATTTATCACAAAAATTATAGAAATCACAGCATTTTCAGTAACATGCTTACAATTTTTATTACTCTACAGTGGCAGGCATTTAAATTAATTCAGGCCTGTGGCCACTACCGGAATTTAAATGGCCGTCTCTTAAAGGTTAATAAAAAGTTTTCAGATGTATCCTTTCTGCACTACTTAGTCTGTTCTTTTCTTCTGGATACTTCCACATCTACAGGCTGAATGACCAAGGAATCAGATTTTATCCCTGGCAGGGACACAAGATTTTTCTCTTCTTCACAGACTTCCTCTGAGGCCCATCCAGCCTCCTAAACCAGTTTGGGCATTAATAGGGGAGATTCATAGACATACAGAATGGAGATTGCCATCAACAAAACTGTATATTTTTAGAATCTATCAACTGCACGAATTGTCATGGCTACATGTTAAATAATGTTGTCATTATCAGCTCAGAAATGTGTGCACTTTCAACAATGGTATTTTTCATAGAAAGAAATTAAGAGCACACAATTTGGGTGGCATGCATACATACCAGGTTTTGTTAAAATCTGTAACTGGTTCAATTGTTACTGGGGAGCTTTTTTTCTTATTGTGCATTCTTTGCATAAATCAGCATACTGGGGGTGGGGTGATACCATGTCAATTCACCTGCCTGCCAACGTTTTTTATCTATGATACCATAAGCAGGATTCCATTCAAATTTTCTACTGTGGAGTCTATGCTGAAAGTTGAGACACTAATTTAATTTTTATCGTGACTGAATTCATATCTGTGCTGCGTATTATCAAGAATATTTCTTGCCATTATCCATCAACACTCATAACAAGATTTATTTCATAAATGTTCTAATAGAAATGGGCTTCATCTTGGTCACCCATGAAGATGGTCATCTAAGATTCAATTCAATTTTAATTTATTCTATTGATCCATACTGGTACAACCATTGGATATAGAAAAGTAAAAAATACAAGACAGTACAATATTAATAAATAATGATAAATAAATAAATAAGACATGCATTCATTAAAAAATTTTGTTGAAAAGAATATTAATAATAAAACACTGTAAATACTGATACTATGATGTTACTGTTACCATGTTTTTTGCTGCTCTTTCAGAATTAAGAAAAGCTTCTTTCATAGATTTTGTGTTCTACCAATTATATCAATATCATCTGCAAATGCCAAAATTTGAACTGACTTACAGAATATAGTTCCCCTTGTGTTGATGCCTGCATCTCTAACTACCTTCTCTAATGCTATATTGAATAAAAGGCAGGCTAGGGAATCCCCTTGTTGAACTGCTGTCGATTTTCTCCTTCATAATGGCTTCAGTGTCATTGGACATGTCAATAACTCGGCGACTGATTGCGTCAGCAGAGAGAGGAATTGTTGAAATTTCACTAGCAGCTTCTGAACCCAAGATTATTTTCACCATCTCTATACAAGCAGGCATTATCAGAAAAATATATGCAAGAGTTCATCGTGTGAGAAAGCGGGGTGGCAATGACGCCATCCTCGGTGAGGTTGGCTGAGCCATGGCCGTGTCTTTGGTGGGGACGTGTCATAGACCAGGGATGCGTTAGGACACAGCTTTGGAACACCTCGTGGTCCCGCCGGCCAACAACAGTCTTGGGGGTCTGGATCAGTATGACCTTCCGGAGCTGGCGGCTAAGTTTCCATAAAGGGCGAAGGCTATGTGACCGGAGCCTCCCATGTGGCGGCATAATGACCCTTGGGTGTCACTACGGTGTACCCGGGACGAATACATGAGAGCACTCCTATGGGGGTAGCTACGGCTATTTGAGTTGTCTCCCTAGAGTACAGATAAGGTGCCGCAAGCCTTAGGGCTGAACACTCTAAAATGCTTTGACAAACCCATGTGGAGGAGTTGCAATGGGGGAGCTCAGAAGCAACCCCCAGGGGCGATAATCTCGTGTAGGATGCCCTGGTCGCAACCTCATGACTAACTGGTATCGCACTCCCATTTATCATCTGGGATACCCCTCTCCCCCCGAACACGGACTTTTGGTCCTGGAGGCTTGTGAGGGTTGCATTTACTACAGGACCAAACCACCTAAGCCAAGGTGTGAGGCTTTGTGCTGAGGACTGCATGGCACTGGGGTGGCAATTAGCCAGTGTCTTGAACAATCCCCTTGGAGCACCAGGCAGCACCCCATTGTATTTATGCCTTCCACCCATATGGGGAGCTGTAGGTGGTGACCTTTTAAATTCCAATTACTCATCAGACCTAAATGAATAAAGGAACCAAATTAAAAAAAATACCGTTCATAAAGACCTTAAACTGAAGAGGGCCCCCCCCCCAAGGGGGTCCCTACGAGAAATTCTTCAGCAGGGGGCTGGAAGCTCTGGTGAACCATTAAGGGGCCCAGTTGTAACCAGCGAACCTGCTGTTGAAATTTCAGCCAAAGGCAAGCATGAACCAGTGGTTACTCTCCTGGGAGTCAGTAGT